CTCTTTCCAAACCCTATTGCTTTGCAAAAGAAAGAGATAACATTTCAAAGCTTTTTCATGTACCTCTGTAACAGGCTGCAGTTACATGTATTTTAAGGGATCCTTTGCACTAGGCTGGTGGAATGAGGCAATTTACCTCAAAGAAAGCGTGGAGGTGGTTAGTCTTCATATAGATAAATCTTTTTATTAGACTCAAGATAACCACAAGTTTTGGGCTGCCTTAAAAAGGAACGAGAAGTTGACTGAACAAAGTAAAAGTCTATATGAGCTTAAGGGCTTTTTGCCCTTTGTCGTCTCTATATCCCATCGGTTTTTTAATCCCTCACACCCTTGCAAACTCCCCAGAGTGCTCTGAGCACCGGCAACAGAACCCTTTTCCTGATCGTGAAAAACAGAAGAAAAGACCCAAAGATACCTGTGTGCTTCAAAGGCACAGTCCTACCCCAACACTGTACAGTCAGAGGAAAAGTCAACAAAATATGACCAAATCTGTACCATTCTTTGAATAATCTATCCTAAGTGGCTAAATCCTGCTAGCCCTACTTGCATGGAGTAAATGTCACATTGTACATGTTGAAATGCACCTAGCTGGCTCAGGGTGGCCAAGGCCACCAGAACCTGGCCTCCTGCGGACATCTACAAACAGCAGGCGCTGTTCAGCCAGGTGACAGCAGTGAAGGTGACAGAAGTAAACAGGAAGAAATAAATTCTGCCAGTTAACATTGAAAAAACCAGAAATACAACAGAGAGAAACCTTCTCTTACCAGTCTACTTCTAAAATACGACTCAGTGCTGACAGGTCTCAGAAAGCAGTGGCTCTCTCTTTTACTAGAGATGCCACATGAGAAAGATCAGGACTGTTTAGTCCCTCATTTTTATCCTCATAAATCATTCCTCATTTTTATCCTCATATCTGCATAGCAGATGGGAGCTATTTTCGATCACTGAGAGCACTGGAAGATGATGTTTACATAACCACCTTGGTAACCTTTACAACCAAATGCAGTCATCTCTGCCATAGACCCCCAAACTTTTGTCATTTAAGCTATTAGCAGTTAAGCTAAAAGGCATTTGTTTATTTGTTTTTCAGCTGTGTGACATGAACAGACTGATATGCACAAAGCTGGCATCACAGAGAGTGGCTTGGCCAGCATTTTCAAAGGCGACCGTACTGCATTAACCACCCGGTTCCCACTGAAAATTATCACAGAAAATGGGTGCCAGCCCTACAACAGTAAGCATTTTAGTTTTATTAAGGTTTAATAATATTTCTGAACTTAACCTATAAATATATGTACATATGTGGGCATATATATATATTATATATACAAGAAATGCTAATGCTAGTCAGTAATGTAAAAGTGCACTCAATTATACAATGAAATATGGATCCTTTTCCAGAAGAATTGAGTGTATATAATAAATGATGAATAAAAAGAGCTGAGATGACCCCATCACAACTTAAAGAGGGCAAAAGAAAAAAAAATTAATGCTTTTCACAGCATCTGAGAATGTAAAAGCAATCTAGTCATGCAAGATGGAGAAGAATAGTGTTTGCAAATATTGTTCCTTGTCATCGTATTGGGCAGGAAGGTTTTACACAAGGTCAGACAGAACCTTTGCCTCAGACAACAAATGCCAGCAAAGATCTGAACTGAATGCTTTTGGATAGGAAATATCAGGGGGTTGACGAGGGGAAAAACATGGTAATTGATACAGTAAAGAGAAGGAGGTTAGGTTCTCATAAAGATCAAATTTGATCTTGTGGGCTTTTTTGGCAGTGTCCTAATGGCTCAAAGCTGTGCAGGTTACCTGTGGCTGACATGGAGTATAGACAAAGCTCTGGGGCATCATATATTGGCATCATACATTGGCATATATTGGCATCATATTTTGCCTGGACCTTCTTTGGGAAGAACTGAAAAACAACAGGGTTAAAATCCTGGTATCCTGCCTGCACCCACTCTCTCACCAATGACTAGGCCTCCTGAAGGAAGTCTAACGTTTACAGAGGCACATTAGTTTTTTTTAGAATCCCCTTCTCCTCTGCTTCATTTTTGTTTTCACTTATTTCAGGGAGTTATTGTCCATTATCACCTTCAAGAAGTGGTCTTCATTTCAAAAATCTCCAGAGACTGTGGTGTTACGGACTTGGTTGTCTCTGCTGCTGAAGTAACCGCATTAGTGAGAGGCTGTGAAACCCTTTGGTCCGATCTGTTGTTGCAGTGGTCGTCCATCCCTCTACAGCTCTCGTCACTTAGTATCTGCGCTGCATCCTAAAGCCATTAGGCTCCTGTGCAATTTCATACTAGACAGAATTTGGAGAGGAAAAGAAACAAGGAGTAGCTCTGGATCAGAACGCCTCATTCTCAGAGTAGCTCAGTATGTAACACCATGAACACGGTGGCCCTACCTCCAAGTGACATCAGCCTTAATGGAAAACCACATGTATTTTAAAGACAGATTTTCATCAGTGAAAAGTTGACATCTTTGAAAAGTTAGAAAAGCCAAAATCCATATGACTCTGATTAAGCAATTGATACCAAGAGTATACAGATGCTTTTCCTCTTTTAAGTGGCAGCTTTTTAAAAAGCTTTTTTTTTAAACCTTGTGTTTATTGTATTGCTCGTATTCAGGGTTAAGGCCTCAATTCTGCAAAACACTTAAGTGTGTTGCAATTAAATAGATGTTCTTCACTAAACAGGGATGGTTTCTTGCACTGCAGAGGTGGAGTTAACGTATCTTTTAAACAAGCTTTGAATGGGCAATGTATGTCCTGTTTTCTGACTGCATGCAGAACCCAGGGAATCACTCATGCCACAGTGTGTCAGTTCTCAAGACCCCTGCTCCTTCCACAGCCCCCTTGCAGAGTACAGGGATAAAACATAGACGCTTTTTCTGAAGGCACCTTCCAGCTGATGGCATGGCTCTGCTGAACAGGCTCCCCTGTGCTCTAGCAATGCAATAGCTGTGCTTCTTCATGGCACTTTGCAACTGCAGAGGCCCTTGCTGTGTGCTGGACAGCCGTGAGAGACGGTGGACAGAGCATGTCAGAAGACACCAGCTCTTTGGGCAGCTGTGCCAGCTTAAATTGACTGTGAACCTTAGCATGAAGCTGCCATTCGGAGGTGCCACTGGCAGTGCCTGTTGGCACTACAAACTGGTTAAAAACCAGCACTGGTTTCAACCGCCTGTGGTGTCAAGAGGGCCCCCTGTTTGCATGTGTGCCTGTGCCAAAGGGCGTCTTCAGTCAGCGTGGATGAATGTCCCACAGCACAGAAGACCTCTGGGCAGCCAGACTGTTGCTTCAACCTTTGCACATCCCTCCTATGCCTCAAAGTCTTCATGATATGATTTCTGGTCTTTGTATTAGGGATTTCTTTTCAGCTGCAGCTACAGCTGTCTGTTTGCCTTTATACCACTTTGGCCTTTGAGATCAAAGGAAGATGAATGGAGTGGAATTTAGGATCCAGCAATGGCTCTAGCCCCCCACGCTACAGTTCGTGAACACATTTCCCTTAGTCCTCTGTGATCACTTACCTCGTCATCGTAAGCCCTCTCCAAAGCGTTACTCCTGGGCGAGTGCTCCATCTCATAAGGGTTTTTTGATTGATATCCTGGGTTCTCATGGCCAGAAGTAGTCTGGACTCTGGGGAACATTCTGGTCTGTGTTTTGTCAGAGCCTTTTGAAGGTATCAGACTCTTCATCTCTGGATCTTTTTTGTGTTTGGATCTTCAGAGGAAATGAAAGAAGAAAGGAGGTTTCAAAAGACCTGTTAGAGTGCCTTCCACATTCAGTTGTTCCCTCCTACTTATTTTCAATGCCCAGTCCTGTTCTGAACTATGCAACAGATATTTTTCTAGCATACCTATTGCAAAACCCCTTGTTATCAGCAACAGAGGGTAAAGTTTGGCATCTCCTATGGGGCTAAGCTGCTAGGAGAGACAAAGCGGGACTTTAACCTCTTCCAACTAGTTCCTAGAGTGAAGGAGTTTCCTTGACCAGCACTAGCTGTCACTGATGATTCAGAGGAAGAAATGAGGCACTCGTCAGGCCCAGTTGCCCTCTTGCCTGCAGCCAGAGCTTGGCACTCAGACGATGTGCGTGAATTGCCTGCGCTGATCACAAGCCCATGACTCACACACACTCAGCGCTGGCTTGTGCACCCGCTGGTGAGCTCTGCCCGCTGCGGGAGTCTTCACCTGAGCAGCGCGGCGAGCAAAGGCAGAGGGGCTGCTTGAATGTTTCTGTCTTTCTTATACAGGGAGAAGGGAGGAGGTGTAATGGCAACTGGGAATTAGCCAGTACACTGGGAATAGTGAGCTGTAAAGAGATCCCTGGCTGGAAATGCCACCTGTAATGAGCTGAGAGGGCCTTGGCCTGAAGTGCTAGCACAGCAAAGCTGCAGAGGTCTGAATTTGGGCCACACAGTTTTCTGATATCAGCACCCTTGTTTAGTCTCATCAGACGCAATATCAGTACCGACTAGGCCAGGATTAGGATCGATGGGTCAGGTGTGTATTTGGAAAGCCTTGCTTAAAGCATTCAAGGTCTGATTCACAGCAAGAGTAAATACTTCTGTGCAGAGCACATGGGTGAAAACAAATACTGATGGCTACATGACTTAATGAACTTGTGTGCCAAGCAGGCATGCGAGGACATTTACAATCCTGCCCCTTTCTCTACATCTCTGCTTCGTTCTCTAGGAAAATGCAGCAATGCCACTTTTATTCAATTGTCAGAAATACTCTTACCTTGTTGAAATGATAGTGATTGCTATCGCAAAACTCAAGATAATGGCTCCAAACACTGTACCCACTATTATAAGAATGAGTTCACTATCTGGAAAAAACAAAGAAACAGTGATTGAAAATTCATGGCAAATATTGAAAACCAAGGCCTGTCTCTCCTCTTGCTATTAAAAAAAAAAAAAAGAAAAAAAGAAAAGAGGGAGGAAGTGAAAATGCTTATTTGCTTTGTGAAGAAACTGCCAGGACACTGTTTATAACCAGCAAAAGCCCGACCCTACCCTATGAGCTCCTTATGTATGCAGTTTTTCAGAGAAGCAGCTACACGTTTCAACATAGGACCAAGGCCTGCTATCACAGAATACCTCGGCTGGATATTCCCTGCAAACACCTCCTTCCATGGTTCTTCCCTTTTTGCTACCTCATGCCTCCTCTTGGGCTGCATGAAGAAAACTTCATTCATGAAGGAGGAAAATAGCTAGTTGAGAAGAAATCAAACTTTGCACCTGATCAAGCTATTTCTATGTTTTTGATGACGGAAACAGAAAAATAAATGCACAGCCTTCCTCGATTTCCCCCTACAAAGTATTAAGGGAAAATAAAATCATCCCAGAACAAGGTAGACAAAAATGAATTTCTTCCACTTTTTGTGCATGAGCTCGCGTGTGTGTGAATTTTGAACCAGGTCGACGCTGGACATGCCACAAAGGGAAGACAGCATAACTTTGTGGTTAAGAACAAGTTACAGGGCATTAAGATTCCCAAAACTCTCTCAAGAAAAACATGTTCCATGCGATGAAAAATATCTTTCCTGTGAAACATTTACACCTGGAAAGCTTCTCTGTGCTGCACTACAACTACCATTCGCCAATCTCCAAACTCTTCAGGCAAACAAACAAACAAACAAACAAAAAAACCCACCTCCTTTGAGATCTCAGAGCCGCAGTCATGGGGCTGTTAAACACATAGCAGTTAAAGACTGCAGCAGCGTGAAAATTTGAAGAGCCACATAAAGTTACATCTTTTGCTCAAATAAAGCCAAAGGAGTTGTGAGAAGTGAAGAACCACAAGTGGTTGTTTTTCAGTCTGCTTTTGTCTGCACTGGATGTTCTCAGTTTAGGCACATGCAAACACAAGGTGAGGATGGATGCCCTTTCCTAATCCAGACGATAGTGGAAAGTGGAACAGGTGCAGATATCAGCTGTAAAACTGACTCAGAAAAGGGGAAAAAATTTTGGAAGGCCAGTCTCATTAACTTCTCTAAACTAATACGATTATGAGATGACACAATTATGGCCATCATTTCTTCACCAGAAGAGAATATTAGATATTATGCAGTACTTGCAAGGTAAAGTACCAACAAGAACCGATGGTTGGGCATTAAAGCAGGAATATTTCAAATGAGAGTATTTTACTGATGTTTTAATAGACAGGAGTAACTAATCTTTCGGTAGTGCAAGGTTCAGCACTGCATGATCTCTTCAGATGAGGACTAAATGCTTTTCTGTCAAACCACCTGTATATGACTAAAAGCTATTGGTTTTAATGCAGCGGTCATTAGATGAAATGCTACTGTCTGCTTGAACATGGGATTCAAGTAGGATTTTTCCTTCCAGGCAGCAGTGAAATAGCACTCATCCTTGTCTAACTTTTTCCTGTCATCAGTATAGGATGGAGGCAGTCCTAAAGGCTACTTTGTTATCTCAGACTCTGCTCAGTAGGATAAACTTTACTGAGATTTTTTCTATGCAATAACTAAACATCAGAAATTCTTGTACTTACTGTTTGTACAGTTCTCTCCAGAGTAGCCCACTGCACAACTACATGAGAGTTAAAAAAGAGAGGGAAAGAAAGAAAAGAAAGACACTTAATGTCATTCAGCAGATGATCACAAAGTAATAGACCATTTCCACCCTTTACCAACAATTTCTCTGCAAGTGAGCTCATCATGGGTTTCCTCTTTGATGCTATCTTAAGACCAAATTGTTTTGTTTCTTTGTTAGAGGGAAACAACTGAGGAGCAGAAATTTCTGAGATTTTTGGAATGACTGGTAAGCTGGGCACTCAAAGTTTCAGGTTCTCAGCCTGAAATACGTTTTAAAACACCTAATTTCTCCAAAAGAACTAAGCTCTACAGCTCTGAGCTGCTTGGAATTGCTACCCACTGGTGAAAAGCTCTGTCTTTGTCAACAGCCTCAACAGAAGACCAGGCAGGGCTGACATCTCTTCATTTTCCTCCCATACTAGTTTCTTACATTTACATTATACTGATTTTACAGTAAAAGTGATTCTGTTCTGCATGTAGCAGCAACAACAACAAAAGGAGCTGAATTGACAGATCTGGGGAGTAAAGTCCCTCTCTCGATCCATCGGACTGCAGCACAGCTGGTGACCCACTCAGCTCCACCAACAAAAAACACCACTCTGTTCTGAGCCTGAGCTGACAAAAGCACCTGCAGAGGGAAAACCAGGATGAAATAACGTAGGTCTGACATTCATCAGGGAACAGCGTCCCATAGATATCAATGGGAAACCTTCCGTGGATTTCAGGCATTTTTTGCTCTAGTGCTTGTTAGTTATGAAAGGCTTCAGCATCCAAGTTCCCATGGGTCAGTTACTCTGAGGCAATAATTTATGTTCATGCGGGCAACACACAACATGAGTGTGAGGTGGTTTATCCTTTTCAGTGACTCACAGGTGAGCTTGGATCATCTTGATTTTCCTCTGAGGTGTCACGACTGCACAGCAAGAGCTAACGGCAAGCAGTTGAAATGCCATAACTTGTGACACCACGGGAATTTTTCCACCTGCTGACCACCTTAGCTACCCCTTCTGACTGGCATAACTTCAGGCTGTTCTTCTAGAGATTCAGCCTGTTTTAGATGTTCTCTCCTACCTTTGCCTATAACAAGAAGAAGCTGAATACTCACGGCACACATGTATCATCCTTTGATTCAAAATTGGGCAAACACTTGCATGTTGGAATCGTGCTTTCTTTTGCACAGTACTTGTTGTTGTTTACAGAACAGTCACTACTGCAATCTGCATTTTCAGAGGGAAGAAATATGCAGTGAGTTAAAGGTAACGCGGAAAAAATCAACAGTGGAGAACACTGTCTTGGGAGTATTTGTATTTCCTAATGATGCTATAAAACCTGGGACAATTCACTTTTTTTTCATTGCAGTGTAAACACACACAACTTTTGCATGCTTAAAAGTGACAAAATAGCCTTTTCAGGGTTATACCTATGTAGAACAGAAATTAAACTATCAGAGCACAAAATCAGAAGTAAACAGCCCTTGTTCAAATGACTCAGTTTCATAGCTTGAAATGTAAATCTAGGAAGGCTGCTTCTTAGAGTGGGCAACCCAATGGCCTACAGTTTGTTACCACAGCAGATGATCTGTACTGCAAATGATCTGAAACTGGATCAGATTTAGACAGGTTAGGTGCCACGAAGGCCTGCACCTCACATCTCACTAGCCTTTACTGTAACCAGCTCTCATGATTTTATCCTGAGTGTTTGCAGTATTTGTCATTTTTTTCTTGAAATCTCATTATCTTAGGCTTATTCTATGGTGTGAGAGTTATAGTTTTCATAGCAAGAAAATAAGGCGTATCTCAGGATTGTGGAGGACAGCTAGAAAAATATAAACAACGTGCTCTCTAAAAGATTTAAAACCAACCGAAAAAATCACATAATTCATATACCCCACAAAAATCTGTCAAAATACAGGTAATGCAACAGTCCCAGAAGCTCCAGCAATGGACAGTGCTTTGTTTAATAGATCACTGTGCTGCACCCAGACCTCCACCCCTGTCTCCAGGTGACATGTGGAGCTTATTCCCAAAATATGCCCTAGCAGCTATAGGACTCAGCTGGTTCCACTCTTTACCTATTTAGGTTTCAGTTCTTACCCAGAGTTTAACAATGCATTTAAATAGTTTCCTACTGATTTCAGTGGTTAATTTTCACAGGCTTTAGTAATTTATCCTACTGGAATAGAATTTTGGATGTGTTGAAAGTGAAAGGCAAGTATATGTTTCTATGGCTTGCTCAGTAAGACAAATATTCCCTGATTTTCAGATTTACTTGAACTCAGCACATCTGAGAAGCCCCCTTTCCAAAATGGGACTGAGATGAGGCATAATTAGGTCAGCCTTCCAGGAACAGGTAAGGTAGCAAAGGTCTTTCTTACCTGAACAAGAACGGACATCCCAAGCCGTCTTTGAGAAACCACTTTTGCATATGCATTCTGGATAGTTATCTTCCACACAGTATGTGGTTTTGAGATCGCATTGAAAAACAGCACAATAGGTTGTAGCTTTAAAAGAGAAACAACCATGAAGCAAACCTTAGTACCAATAATATCCTTTCATAGAAGGCAGGTCAATTGGCCAGCAAATCAGAAAACAATTATTTAATAATTCAAAAAAAAAAAAAACTTTAAAGCCCTTTTTTGGACATCAATATTTCAGGCACTTTGAGCAACTCTTTCTTTTTCCTTGCTCTTTCCCAGTTAAGTTTCTGTTTCCATCACACCTTCTGACCTTATGTTTCTCAGCCTCCTATAACTGCCTCCAAACCACCCAGGTGCCCCAGTCCAGGAAGAGGGAAGCTCTACCCATAAGTTCATATTCTGAACACTAATTTTCTGACTCACCTTAAAAAAAACACACACACACACACACACACACACACACACACACACACAAACTCCACTATCCCCTTAGCATTTTGCACAACTGAACTGTGAGACCTGGATCTCACCAAGTTCTGCACAGATATGCAAGGTTATGGGCAGGCAGCTTGTTGCATGAGAAACAGTAGCACGCTGTTTGCCGAGCAGGTTGCTCATCACAGATATATGAGCCAGTAACATCTGCTTCCCATGCGGACGTGGCAACGGTTTACAGAGAGGGGCAGATGGTGTACAGGGCAGAGATATGATTGCTCTGGTCCTTTGTGAGGTGTCATTTTTTCTTCTGTTTCCCCCTCACATTTAGGAGGATGGCCTGAGGCGGATACAGTCACCTCAGAGGCCAAACTCAGCCTAAAAGCCATGAGCTGGAATTCTTTAATTATTAGCTATGTATTTTTCTAAAGCTAAATACAAAACAGGAACACTTAAAACAAAAAGTGAGAAAAAAAATCCTTATTTTATTTACAAAACATTCTCTAAATATTGCACTTTTTCATAATGCCACACAATACTGGCTTAGACCAATGAGTCACTTAGTTCAGTACCTAATCATTGAGGCCTCATTTCTGGAAAGAATTTATATGTGTACCTCCCTCGGGCTAACTGAAGAAAGCACTGGAGCACATACTCTCTATTTTCCTCCGTAAGAACACCTAGATATAGCCTATCTCTGATAGTTGATAAAGCATGAGAAAGAATTATCTTGGTCAATTATGGAAGAAGCAAAGTCTAAAGAAAGTTTAATCCAGCTTTGCCAGTAAAACACTGGCTTATTCTCAGAAGCACAATATATCCCTGTATACATTTTGGCCTATCTGTTTCCCCAGTCACTTAACACTCAGCAGGTTAAAACCAACGCACCATTACATATTTGGGAATAAGCATTTTCCATCTTTTCTCTACACAGGAACTAGAAAGCCTTAATCAGACCATAAAACTTCAGCAATGAACAGCTAAATTTTCAAAATTGCCTAAGATTGAACACTCTGATCATCAAAATCAACAGGGCTTATGCTTTTAAGGGCTTTGCTGCACACAGAAATGTCCTAACCAGCTTTGAAGGTAGGAACCTCTGCTCCTAGTAATGACTTACTTTTACAGTGAGGAATTACATACCTCTGTATGCAATGATGTAGTCTGAACCTTTTGCTGTTTCATTTATTAGTGAAGTAACTGTTTCATTTGTTACATTTGAGTCCTCCGAAAAGAGGTTCATCACTATTATGTTTACTGGAATATTCGTTGATCTGCTTTGTTGTAATCGTCTGAAAAGTACAGATAATGTCATTTTAAAGTCTCATATGGTAGCAAGCTAGGTGCAAAGACAACAGAAGATTTCTGCCAAATCTCCCCCTCTCCCCTAACTTCTTTCATCCCGTGATGGAGGTAGTTACTAAGAAAGACACCTGAAAATGAGTTCAAGCTCAGAAATCCATTAGTGGCTATCTTCCTGGTCGAATGCTGGTGTAAATGGACAGCTGGTAGGTAAAGGCTGCTGGGTTTGATGGTACCAGTATCATTCCTTTGTGTGCCGTTGGCATGAAACTGGTGCGTTTTTACTGGGCCAGCCTCAGGCCAGCTGCTGTGAGGAGCACCTCATCTGTTAGACCCTAACCTCATGCTCACACCAGGCTGCGGTGTCTCCCAGGCCTGACTTGGAGAGCCTATCCTGAAGCGTGGTGATGCTAATTCAGGGTATGACTGCAGTGAAGTCAACGGGTCTGTTTGCCCTGTACAGGTACCTATGTTAACTTCAAGCTAGATGGATCCGCTGACAGCGACCTCCCGGTGACGACAAGGAGCACAGCGGGGGCTACCTCGCTCCTCAGCTGAACTCTGTGCTGCTGGGATATGCACACAAACGCCTTTAAGTGGTAGATTGCTGCAATGCCTTAAGCTGTTACTATGCCCCTACGTGCTTATCATAACCCCTGTGCTGGAAGTTACCGCCCTCACAACCCTGCTCGTACAACAGTCTGCTCAACTGCTTTATCTACCAGGTTGGCTGCAAGGGTTTAGACTGCTGTGTGTGTTAGCATGCCTGGTTTTGCTTCCTGCGGATTAGGGAGTGCTCTCGAGAGAGCAGGCAGCAGAGCTCTGAGGCAGTAAACTCCAATAAATGGGGATGGGAAGAGAAGGACATCTTAAGAGAAGGACGTCTTACAGCGTCCACTTACATCAGCAAAGGGTCTATGCCCACAGCCACGGTCACCACAGTCCATTCAATAGCCTCTTTGCTCAGCCTGCCATCAGGACAGACCAGTAAATGCAAAATAAGATGTAGGAGGCTTCTGTGATGAGGGCCTTTCTTAAATTAAACTGAGACTCCAAACTGAACCTTGCTGATTTCTCCTCACAAGAACTTCAGAGTTAACTGTTAAAATTTCAGAAACATGTCAGACATCACAGGGACAAAACTGTTTAGTTATTAGTGCAGTGCTGTATCCTACACGATATTAAAAGTGAGAGATCCACTGCGGAGCTGCCTCAGCCACTGCTCCTCGCAGGCACACTGGAAATCTATGGGATAAAAATGGGGCCTGCATCACCGAAACTTTAAAAATACCAAAAAATGCCTCATTTAACAGGAGCCACTTTGAATTGAGCTCATCCCATATCCTTTCTTGAGCAGAGTACTCCACGGGAAATGCATTAACATGGGGTGTGCAGGAAGGACACACAGTAGCTTCACACATTGTGCAAAAAACCCAACTGGCAAACTTACTGAATTTCCACGATTACGGTCTGTTTGAAGCTTCCCTCCTTTCTGAAAGCTTCCTTAAACTATAAAAGATAAATGAATTGGAATTATGGGTAGGCAGAAACATAGACTGAAATCACATGAAACACTGAGGCTTCAATCCTAGGGGAAAGACCTAGACCATGCTACCTCGCACAAATAAAGCGAGGTGACCGGTCACATCTGCTGTGGGAGACGCTACGGCAGCAGAGGAGCTGTAGGATTGTGCTGTAAAACAGAAATATGGCAGTGGAGGGAAAGGGGAGGCATGAGTTGAACAAATGTCAGGCAGTGCATGATGGTTGAGGGGCTGGCGAGCTACAGGTCCTCGCTCACTGACTTGCCTCTCAGGAGGAGGGCAGTGAGTTAGTACTGCAGATCGTTTACTTCTGTAGCTATGTCATGAAACAATGTAAGACAAAAAACTGGGGAAAACCTTTTTTAACAGACATTCTGGAGGGACATTTTTTGGCTACTTTTCAAAAAAAAAATCCGTAGAAAGCAATATAATAACATGAAGAATTTGATAACTGTTTTGATGACTTTGATTAATACTTTTTTTTTTAAATTTTCTAACCAGTTCTCTGGCCAAGGGAAATATCTCTCCTTCCTCACTTCCAGAAAATTGCATAAGAAAATCCACAGTCTCAGCATGGCAGTATAAATTTATTAATTAGTCTTACTTCTCAGGAAATCCATTCCAAAACTTCATCTATAATCACAGCACGCTCAAGGTGTATAATATCCTTTTCATTTATTAAAATTAAAATACTAATACTAGCATGCTTATGGAAGAGGCTTATTATTTAGGTATTTAAATACAGCCGGACAGCCATTCTGAAAAGCTTGTGCTGTATGGAAACAATAGCTTTCTCTAAAAAAAAAATTGTTTTCTTTTTTTTACTTATACCACTGAGCATTATGTAGCCCTCGGCAAACAGCAAGATCAGAAACTAAACGGGCTAGAAAACTGTTCAGCCTCATGGTTGCTGGAGAGGGAACGGTGAAAGATGGGAAGCAATATTTGCGAGATCCTCCCAGAACAGAAGTGACACTACAAATGTAGATATTACCTGATCTCAGATACATCCCTTTACTTCAGGAAGAGCCATGCATGTACTCATCTGAGGGCAAAATTCAGCTCTTGTGTGAATAGGTTTAAACTAGTGTGAAGCATTCTTTGAAGGAAGTAGCTGCCTCAAGTGAAACTATCTTAGGCTCCACTTTAAAGGCAGCATGTATCCCTTCTGTCTGCATCACATTCAGGAAAGCATTAAATATACATGAAATGTTTAAAAAACAAAGCCACTCACAAATGCTGTTACGAGGAGGAAGACCTGTTCAAACACCGTGGAATTTACCAGTTCAATGCTAGAATTGTAGGTCTGATTCAGTGTAATGAGCCCTGGGAATATTAGCCCTGCAATGAGAACAAAGGATATTAAGAAGCAATCAGGAAGCATTTAAGTAAGAAGGGTTTCACCTTGGGGTTCTCCAGGCTTCAGAGATTAGAAGATACATCACAGAGATCAACCTTTGCTAGTTTTCATATACTGGCGGAGTAGCACATACATTCTTGCCTGCCACCTGGGAAGCAGGCAGGATTCTGGGCCCAACTAAACCGGCCTGGTTATGCAGCTTGAATAATGCTAAACTGTAAGCATGGTCTGAAGCTAACAAAAGACTTCACTCATCTACGGTGTTACAGCATTTAGTGCGACAGATATCTATATTAAGGCCACAGCCATTTAATCAGCTGACACGGTTTACCATTTCTGAGGAAGCAATTCAGTGTCTACCTCCTTCTTTAGGTTCGGAAGTGAATTTGAGAATCGTGCCTGCTAGCACTTAAAAAGGGGCCCCGTTTCCATGCACTCTCGCCCCTCAGCAGCTCCTCAGAAATGCATTTCAACAGCCCTGTGATGAGTGTGTGGCAGCAGGGAAAATCAAGCCAGTTGTTCAGAGGTCTACAGAGGTTTGGGTTTTGTAAACTCTTGCCCATAAACTATTGATGTCAGGTTTACACTAGGATTTCTTCTTCCTCTTCACATACTTTAATCTCCAGGGAATACACCTTCTTTTTCTAGCACATTAACCTCTTTGGCTGCAACACTGTTTTGCGAGATAACAATCTAGGTCGCTGTAGCAGCGGCAAGCTGCAGAACACGCAGTCACTTCCCTAGACTGGTTACGTTTTCAGCTATAATGTGAGAACAAGGGATATGGGAGGAAAAGCTCTCCTGAGCAGTTATGTGAGGTAACAGAGATCACTCTTTTGCAACTCACCTTTGTGACAATCCATGTTTTTATAGTAGAATCCATATGGGCACAGGCAAGTGAAATTGCTATTTAGAGCAATACATTTAGCCACATTATTTCCACATGGTTTTGAACCACAGATGCCCCCTGATACAAAGATGAAAGATATTGACATCAGGATTTATATGAAATTGCACTGGTTAGCAGATGTAGTCTATTATATAGTCGATATATCTTTTTCAAAGGAAACTACCAAATACGTTTTGTAGAGTACAGATACAATTAAACATTGCATTATATGTCTTGTTCGAAGCTACCACAGTGAGCATGCAGAATAAGGTTGAAATTAATTTTCTATCATACTGACCAACTCACAATCTAGGTCTACTTAATACAGCTAAAACCAAAACAAAAAAATGTGTATTGAGGGTTGCTAAAATCAGTATCTGATAGAGTTAGAAAACGGCAAACTACAATAGCCCGTGCATCTTCAATCCTGCACTGCTACATCCCTGCCTTACAGTGTCATGGTAGGGTACTTTACTGCGGAAATATTGATAAAATGAAGGCTCCCAAGCTAATTATCATTGAGTATGTGCCTCAGTATGTGTCAGAGCACAACTTCTGCTGCTGAGAAATTTTGCTTACAACTGTCACTGTAATAGGACTATTAACTGGCAGCTACGGCCATGTTTCTATATCAGCGTAACGTTGTGCTGTGCAGGTTTGAGCCAACTGGTGCCTTCTACTTACCCGCTGGAGTTGCTGATGAAGGTGAGGTCATGCTCCTTCGTTGAAAAGGGAAAATGACTTAAAACGGCAGCCCTGCTTAGTGTCATGGGGTATGCTGAGGCAGTGGTGTAAGGTCACAAAACCTTCCTTCTCAGTCCTGCTTCTACCTTGCTCTGTCCTCTAGACAGTGCCTTGCCCTTATTCCCTGCAACCTGCTGCTCAGTATGACTTAGGCTGCGTGCTTGTCTGTGGTATCTCTTATCTTGTAGTCTTCCTTTCCCCTTGATTTGCCCTTTCCCTTCAAAATTTCTCTGTTAGAAGGCTCTGCAGGTGCCTCACTTCTCTCCCTCTCCCCAAAAGTCAAGTTGGCCGTTGTTATCCCAAGGATAGGATGAGGTTCCTATTTCTGCCCTCAGAGCATCTTCGGTGTATCCTGTAGCTTATGTCCCTGCCTTGAACTAAAAGAGCTTCACTTCTCCTCCAACATATTTAAACACTTGAAATACTAACAGCTCTAAAGGAAAACTTGCTGCTAAACCTTCCCCCCAAAAATAGATTCTGTGAGGCAGCTAGCCTCAAAAGATGCGTAGCAATAAGCAAGAGAAAACTTAGACATATGTGCTACCAAATCCAAAAGGAGAAAAAAGAAAATGTAGGGAGCAGCAGAATACTAGAATAATCCCAACCATATTGTAAATAGATTTAATTTTTATAGTGTATACTGTGTGCTTTAAATGGTTGTTGGTGTATTTTTTTTCTAAGTAACTGCAAGATATATAACTATAACTAATTGTATGTATTTATGTAAGATCTATAATTTAATTAGTTTAAAAGTAATTATAACTTATATTTGTATATATTAAACATGGGATGGTAATTATAGCTCTCTTTCCAAGGCTTGAAATTTAGCATTTCACCCTGCCTGGTTTCTTTCACTTAACTCTCCAGGTACGTTCTCACAAATGGGGAAGAGATCTTTTGTGCAATGGGAAAAAAAATAGTAAACCTTTTTCATCCCAAAGAGAATGGGTTTTTAGGACAGCTACTTATTAAATAAGCAGAAGAGAGCACAAAATTCAGAAAAATGTTGGAATTTTCCATTACATATGTTAAAATTGTACACTGCATGTATCCATTAGAGAAAATTGCCAGGTCCACTGTAAAATACATAAACCATATTGAAACAATTCCCCTAAAGTAAGAACATATCTGCACAAGGAATGTTCAGAGTGTCCATTCCCAGAATATACTTCCTGAATAGGTTCTTGTTAATTTATAAAGAAGAAAAGCATGAGATACAGTGAAAAAGAGAGTTCCTGAAAAAGTGTAAGACAATCTTAACATGCTGAAGGAAGAGACAGCAGTCCTACATACTTTCAATGGAAAAATAATTAAGGAAGTACAAAGGGCTAACAGAATTTTGTCCAGATACTGGATTTTGATTCCTAGAGGTATAACGCACCAGGAAGGGACCAGCTGGTGAAATCTTGCCCAACACTTTCGCCTGGCAGCAAAGGCCAGAGGAGAGAGAGAGGGAAGACAGGAGAGGGGAATGCAGCCTCACTCAAGGGCTCCTCAACTGCACTGGCAGACAAACTTGGGAAAGCCGGAGCAAGTGAATGGTGCCTACCTCCGAGGGCTCAAGACCTCTGTAGGGTTGGGCGAACCCAAACCATTCCCCCAAGGGGCTGCCGCTGAGCACTTTTCTCCCTACCTGGACTCGTTGTTGTGGTAGATGGAGGAGTGGTGGTTGTTGCAGATGGGGGGGTTGTTCCAGATGGGGTGGTTGTGAACCATTCCCCCAAGGGGCTGCCGCTGAGCACTTTTCTCCCTACCTGGACTCGTTGTTGTGGTAGATGGAGGAGTGGTGGTTGTTGCAGATGGGGGGGTTGTTCCAGATGGGGTGGTTGTGTTTCCTGTTGAAAGGCAAAGAGGAGACATGGTAGCCCCGCTCAGGGTCGTGCTCCCGGCCTCCGAGGGCTCAAGACCTCCGTAGGGTCGGGCAACCCCAAACCATTCCCCCAAGGGGCTGCCGCTGGGCACTTTTCTCCCTACCAGGACTCGTTGTTGTGGTAGATGGAGGAGTGGTGGTTGTTGCAGATGGGGTGGTTGTTGCAGATGGGGTGGTTGTTGCAGATGGGGTGGTTGTTGCAGATGGGGTGGTTGTTGCAGATGGGGTGGTTGTTGCAGATGGGGTGGTTGTTGCAGATGGGGTGGTTGTTGCAGATGGGGTGGTTGTTGCAGATGGGGTGGTTGTTGCAGATGGGGTGGTTGTTGCAGATGGGGTGGTTGTTGCAGATGGGGTGGTTGTTGCAGATGGGGTGGTTGTTGCAGATGGGGTGGTTGTTGCAGATGGGGTGGTTGTTGCAGATGGGGTGGTTGTTGCAGATGGGGTGGTTGTTGCAGATGGGGTGGTTGTTGCAGATGGGGTGGTTGTTGCAGATGGGGTGGTTGTTGCAGATGGGGTGGTTGTTGCAGATGGGGTGGTTGTTGCAGATGGGGTGGTTGTTGCAGATGGGGTGGTTGTTGCAGATGGGGTGGTTGTTGCAGATGGGGTGGTTGTTGCAGATGGGGTGGTTGTTGCAGATGGGGTGGTTGTTGCAGATGGGGTGGTTGTTGCAGATGGGGTGGTTGTTGCAGATGGGGTGGTTGTTGCAGATGGGGTGGTTGTTGCAGATGGGGTGGTTGTTGCAGATGGGGTGGTTGTTGCAGATGGGGTGGTTGTTGCAGATGGGGTGGTTGTTGCAGATGGGGTGGTTGTTGCAGATGGGGTGGTTGTTGCAGATGGGGTGGTTGTTGCAGATGGGGTGGTTGTTCCAGATGGGGTGGTTGTTTCAGATGGGGTGGTTGTTCCAGATGGGGTGGTTGTTCCAGATGGGGTGGTTGTTCCAGATGGGGTGGTTGTTCCAGATGGGGCGGTTGTGTTTCCTGTTGAAAGGCAAAGAGGAGACATGGTAGCCCCGCTCAGGGTCGTGCTCCCGGCCTCCGAGGACTCAAGACCTCCGTAGGGTCAGGCGGCCCCAAACCATTCCCCCAAGGGACCGCCGCTGGGCACTTTTCCCCCTACCGAGAGTTGTGGTTGTAGATGGAGGAGTGATTGTTGTTTCAGGTGAGGTTTTTGCAGTTCTTGTTGAAAGGCAAAGAAGAGACATGGTAGCCCCGCTCAGGGTCGTGCTCCCGGCCTCCGAGGACTCAAGACCTCCGTAGGGTCAGGCGGCCCCAAACCATTCCCCCAAGGGACCGCCGCTGGGCACTTTTCCCCCTACCGAGAGTTGTGGTTGTAGATGGAGGAGTGATTGTTGTTTCAGGTGAGGTTTTTGCAGTTCTTGTTGAAAGGCAAAGAAGAGACATGGTAGCCCCGCTCAGGGTTGTATAGACAAAATGTCTTGGGGGAGCACTGTGTGTGCAGGACTGCTGCTGAGCAGGTAAGTAGGGGATCTTAGTGGAGGTGAGTGACCATAGCCCTGGGCCTCCTTGCCCTGCCTTTTGCCTGACTCCAGACCCACTGCCTCTGTGGGCTGCTGTCTCCATCATGCCCCAACTCTGAAATCTGGGCCTTCAGCTCTTGCCCTAGAAGGACAGTTTGTGTCCCCCCTCCACAGCGCCTCGCCTTGGCCAGGGCATGGTCAGTCACCAGCACACGTGGGTCTCTTGGCAGCAGATCTCCCTCCGCCTGCCCAAGGCAGCACAGCATGCCCAGTGCTGGCTGCCAGAGCAGCATTGAAGGCATCACATTGGCTAACGCTGGTTTGACTCAGTGCAAGCTTTTCTTCCTTGTCTTTTTATCTTTACGTGCTTATCTCATCCCTTAAGCAAGTGCTGCTTTCAGCATGGTGATTCTGCAATAGTTGCCTCATTTTAAATGAGAGCTATGTGACATGGCACTCTGCAGTTAATATGTACATAGTTACTCTCCAGAATTCAATCTAGACCTGACCAAAATTTATAATAAATACATAAACTGCAAGATATATGTAGATATTTTGGAATGCTGAAGATGCTTTTAGGAGAAGCATCATTAAAAATTCTATATGGATTTCTATATGGATTTCAGTGCAGGGATGGAAGAATGACTGCTTTTGCATAGGAAAGAGCACCTTCCCCTATGCCAAAACAAATACAGGAGGACATTGAGAGCAAAGAATTTCTGTTCTAGGAGTGGAAATTCTGCTATGTTATCATTAATGACATCAAGGTCCTCTTTCCAGGAGTACGCTATGATTCAGTAATGGCAGTATACATTATTTTTATCATCCTTTTCCTTCCTTGTTATAATCTTTTCTGACCAAAAGGAATCCGAGCCAATTCCAGGTCACAGTTAAGGAAGAAATATTTCCTCCCATTGCCCCTTTGTGTTACTTTATCACCTGTTAGTGTGTTTACGTTTCCTGACTATTTTGTGTGTGCTTTTCAGGATGCTTACTTTACATTTAATCTGTATTATTCTTAATTCTTGAATTTAAGGAATGAGAACAGCTTCTGGGGGGTCTAGAAATAAGGAAAACAAATAATAAAACAGCCTTGCTAATTAATGCATGATATTGACAAATGGCCAGTTTGGATCATATGATCACAGAATCACAGAGAGATTGGAAGGGACCTCTATGGAGAGCTTTTATGGCTCATTTATGGAGATGATCCAATTCCAAATTGAATAAACTAGGAATAAACATATTTAATTTGAGTTAATGCCACTGTGGTCAAAACCTCATCTAAATCTTTAACATCAAGCAGCCAGAAGACTAATGGCCAACATCCTCGGCACTAATGCACTCTTACAGCTGATATATTCAAATTTTTTTGTAAATGATACATTAAAATCTCAACAGACATTTAAAAAATTGGACCCACTCTTCAAGAGCTTTGCAAGCAAGCTTCAAATATCCCAAAGAGAGGCAAATTTAATAAAGTTTCTTCTTCTGATCAATAAATCTGACATGGAAAAGGCATATGAAAAAATTCATACTAAAAGACAAGGCCTAAAATACTCCATTAGTCTCCTCCAGATGAAGAGGAAAACAATTGCTTGTATCTGCACACCTTCTTGTCAGCCTGGGATTCTGCTTCCACTAGGCAGCTTTGGGCAGTCCTGTGGGCAGCGTTATTCGTTCCCCTGCCAACCTGAAGAAATGTACATTTTTACCATAACCATGGTGATATCTCTGAGTCTATGTATGCCAGAGGCCGTGGGTTCATTGGGATCATTGTTCTAGACTCTCAGTATCAACGTTGGGGCAATCATCTCTTAAAGAGCAAGTTCTTAATCTGCAGTTGTTAGCTGCACTATATAAAGTGCAGCTAACTGCACTGGAGAAGGCTTTCACTGAAAGCCCATCCTGGAGAAAGCAGCCATACCCTCATGGCAGCTCAGGATGTGTCACTGCATACAACCACCCTTTGGATTCTAGAAGAACTGCGTTTGTGGTGACTGCTGAGCACAAGCAGCAACTGGACCTGGCTGATGGGATTGTTAAAGGTAACCTGAACAAAGATGGCTATTTAATATCTCTATCTGCCTAGGCACAGCCTTCTGTGTAAGGAAACAGGATGTGGAATAACCTTACAAGTTTATTATGGAAATTAAGAACAAGGATGTTTAGACCTAGGTATGGAGGAACAGAGACATCTGGCTGCTGAGCAAAGCAGGGTCTGTGTCAGTACTCTACAAATGGAAACATTATGCAAGGCTTTGAAAGTGCTTAGGATGAAAAAAGTTTCTGGACAGGGCCATCCTGATGTAAAATCTGCTCAAGTCAGTGAAAGACTCCCGTTGCTTTCAGTAGTTATTAGGTCAAAATATTTCTAGTCTTGCTGTTATCCAGAAGAGCCCAAATGAAAAACCAACCAACGGAAAATCTTGAAGACTTCTATGATTACAATTTATAGATAAACATCAGTCTGTAGCATCTCGTAGATGTTGCTGGAAATACAGAATATATGCTTACTTGCCGTAGCTGACAGAGACCTACCACTGTCTATCGCTGGCTGCTTCACTGCAAGCTTAGCAACATCAGTGGATGTTTTAATTTGCCTCATATCTCTGTCACATTCTAACTTTACCCTTGTAGTATTTAGGAGTTCCTGTCCTCTCACAGCTTCAAGTTTCCACTAAACTCTTCATATAACTGCCTTAACTCCACTTCTACTAGCTTTTCTCTGCTCCCCTATATCTGACACTGAAACACCAGGGACAGGAGAGTTCAGGTCGACACTGTGTCCCACAGCTACCAAATTTGTCACAATGCCAGATGAAGAAGCAAGTGGCACAAAAAATGATTTCTGGCCATCAGTTTGAATAGACCATGGTGCAATCCTCTGCCATCAAAGCTGCTGGTGAAGTTCCCATTAATTAATTTTAATAGGAGAGGAATGCACACTCTGTGCACTGGCTCAGCTCGCGCTGCTTGACAGGCTGATTGCTCAAGGAGTCTCTGGCCAGAAGGCCAGCTGCAGCACTCCTTTCCCTGGGTGCTGGAGTGGAACAGTTATACCCTTTGTGATGTGACTGTAATACAGCTTGAATTGCCCAAGTTTAGCGTGAAAACCCTGAAAACTGCTCATGGCATAGGCTAAATTAGGTTAAGCACAAGCACCAGTGCTTTTGCATTGTTCTGCCAACAAGAAAAATCCTGGCTTGCAGTGAAAATTTTCATCATTAACTAATCAAAATCTAGATGTGCTGAACTGTGTATGACCACTGACCTTCAGTCTCTCAGTGGCTGCTAAACGTACTAAGTAATCCATTCACTGCCACAGAATAGCTGCCCCGATAAATCCCAGAACAGGAGATTTCTTACCCAGGTCTTTCTTACCTTTGTCAAGGCTC